AGTAGCCTTGTCCGTCAAGGCGGTCTTTGTTAGCAGCTCTCTTTTAAAGTATCTTCTGCCTGGAAACTGATATAGATTTCTCATGTTGTGTACAGTACTTAGGTGGGTTGCATGGAGTTGGGTAGATACGTCTATCGCTAGCAGCGAGTACTTTTCTTCTGCGTCTGGACCTGACAAAAAATATCGAGCTGAAAATTCACTTTGCAATGTGAAATGAAGGCGTAGCAATGGATAATCTCGGGTTCCGCATAGTTCTGCTCAATCTTAGCTCGCCGGTGGTTCTTAAGCCGAGAGGATATAATAGTTCTAGGCGAAACAGTCGCACGCCTAGAAGAACATAAGATATCTGAATAAACTGGCAAGCTCTAGAGGAATAGGCTAGAATACTAGTCAGCATATCTTGCGATTAGTCTAAATTGCATGAAGCTCAAAATTCAAATGGTAGTGCATCTGGCACATGTTGGTGGAGCATTAGTCAGCCGGTTGACTTCGTTTCAAAGTGTCTGACAAGCCGACTTCACTCCACAATACCTAACTTGAAGCTTTGGATGATGGCAAAAACTTCGTTCCATTCTTCTGATACTCTTGTTTATCAGCATCTCAATGTACCAAAACGCCAATACCGATGCCGTTTCCTGTAAACCCTTGCCTGTCTTGCCGTTCCGTAACGCCATTCTTTTCCATTGCTACGGCTTACTGTCCATTAAGTTATGAATCAAGGGCGATTTCATAACATCATCTCTTCTTCGCTTGTCTCTGTCACACTTGTATCGCTCTCGATCCCCCTCTTCCTCTCTTCCAAGTCACTCTCCTCCACCAGCTCGAGCTCTCCTTTGCGAGTAAGTCCAGTCAGCGGGTGCTCTTGTCGGCCGTTGCTAATGTGGTCGAGTTCTCTTGCAGATTCAGAATCATATGCTCCGTCTAGGCCGAGACTCCTCCTCTCGTTGGCAATTTTGTCCACTTTATCCCTAGCACCCCTTTCCTTCTCGAGTCTTGCTGCCTTAGCATTTCTGCGTCGATCTCTATTATCCTGCACTCGCCCAATAGCAAGCATCTGAATCACCACCATAATGGCAGTATATTCCCAGCACAATCGATCGTCGGCGTGCATATCAAGATACAGAGTCGATCCAGGCAGCGGACCAAGACTCTCCATGATAGGATGTGGAGAATGAGAGACCGTCGGTGGAGGCGGGAAAATATGCGAAACGACAGTATTGATGAAGTGGAGAATCAAAGCTGGATTCAGCAAGATAGCTGGGAGCAGGTAAGTGGAGCTGAAAGCCGGCATCTTGGCCGCGTGAGGGATTTCTGTTGAATATCAGGCAAATCCCAATGAAGAGAAGGAGGATGCGCACAAGGTATGCCAACCACAACTATCATTCCTCGCGAGTCTTGGAGAGAGAGCTGGCTCAGTGAAAGTTCGTCGCAGCCTCGGAGAATCGTAGAGGATGAGAAGAGGTGGTGGGGCGCGAAATGGATGCCTATTGTGTGAAGCAGAGGTTGCGTAGACGGTGCCGATATCAGAGCAATGTCGTGGCCGAGTTTGCGCTACAATTTGTGGCCGTGATGCAATGTATGGACTCAATTTTTATTTGTTCTGAGCGCCCCACGGTCTCAGCAGACGGTGACGTTTGTGCGATCTCGTGAGACGGTGTGCGGCGAGGCGTTTTCGGAGGCGCAAAGCAATATTGAGCCGATTCGAAGTCCTGACTGAAGTAGAAGATGTTCGTTGTTGAGAGGTATGAAGGAGATGCAGCTGGAAGAGGTAGTAGTCGAACCTACTTCAGATTGGAGGAAGCTACGAACTACGTGGAATGACGAATGTGGGAACTGTACTTCCCAAGTTGGAAATCCATGCGTGCTACCCAAGCTTCATCGCGAGTTGATCGGCCATCCTCCAATCAGCCTGAAGAGATCCAACATTTTGACATGTGTTTTTGTGGACAATTCCTTGCCGAGCCCGAGGTCTTGTCGAGCCGTGATACGGTGATACGGTGTTACGAGGATCAGATCACCATCTGTGCGTCAAGTTCTCCTTCGTCTGGCACAGAGACTGAGCAGAAACAGGCTCCCGAAAGTTCTCAGGACCAGGGTCTCGTCCCTGAAGATCGAGGCGGTGACGTGCGGCCGGCGAACACGCACCCAAACGCCGACGAGCAAGCCACACCAAGCCTCAAGCCTCAAGCCTCAAGTGCCACATCGGGCTGAAGCGATTGATTGACTTCTAGCCACGTTTGTGGACAGGTAAATGACAAGGCTCCGGAGCAATCTTTGTCGAGGCAGAACACAACATCGTGAAAGGACATTGTGTCCGCAACTTCGCCAATTTTCTTCTCTGCACATATTGACCCACATCTCAAAGCTTCACGCGAGCTTTATTGTCTCCCATCATGGCAAGTACATATATTCATTCACAAACTCTTAGCTAACATCCGATCAGAATACCCTCTTCAACACAGCCCTTAAACAGTCTACCTCTCTCAAACGCGACCTATCATCCACCCCGTCTGGTCAGCCTCTCTCGCCTTCATTCCTTGGCCAGATCTCAGCATCTCTCACATCCTTCTCGCGAACGCTCGACTCCTACTCCGAGCTCATAAAGTCCGAACTCAACCCCTCCAAAAAAGAAAAGGCCGAAGAACGCCTCAAATCCTTCAGAGCAGAACTTCAATCGTTCCGAGAAGAATTCAAAGAACTGAAACTCCAAAACGAAGATGCACAGTCGTCTGTCAATAGACAAGAGCTACTAGGACGAAGACCGCATAATACTGCTACACCGGATAATCCTTACTCAAATGCTGCAATCTCATCAAGTCCGAGTGTGCATTCACCTTGGGCGCCCAAGGAATCAGCGGGTAGTCTCAGTATGCAATCAGGAGATGTGACGAGGGAATCGCACGCATTAAGGGAGCAGACATTCTTCCAAAACACACACACGGCGCTAGACGAGTACCTCGCACGGGGACAAGCTGTACTGGGGGATTTGGGACAGCAAAGAGAGATCCTGAAAGGAACACAGAAGAGGTTGTACAGCGTGGCAAATACACTGGGCGTGAGCGGAGACACAATACGCATGATCGAACGTAGAGCGAAGCAGGATAAATGGATCTTCTGGGCAGGAGTGGTGATTTTCTTCTTGTTCTGCTGGTTGGTGTTGCATTATTTGAGGTAACGGAATTCTCAGATAAGAGCGAGCAATATGTATGTGCTTGATTATAGCGAGGCGTTTGGCGTAAATTGAGAATGGGAAATTATTGCTGAATATTCTTTTCCTACATTGCATTATTCCTTGTCTTGTACAGGTATTCTATCTCCATCGTCGCTTCTTATTTTGCTGTCCACTGGAAGTTCTGGTCTAGGCATATTGGAACCAGCACCGTCTGGTAGGAGCATCTCAATGAGGCGAGGCTGGTTTCGATGACATGCTAGAAACAATGGAGAGAATTTACGCGTATTTTTCTTGTTTGGTTCGGTGCGATAGACTAACATAGTTTCTGCAATTTCGGCGGATATTTTTGATTTGCAGAAAGACTAACATACCGCCAATCTTCAATGTCAGACCGGATCCGCGCTATTGCAATAGTGACTTCGCCAAAGCTTCTTCATTTTTGTTATAAATTGCATTGACAAGTAGCATGCGGTATAGAGCCGAGACATCTGTATCGACACTATACTGGAGAAGTAAGTTTGCTTCTTGCTCTCAATTGAGTTCGCAAGCTCTACGAAGTAGTGTCATCCCGTCTGCTAGCTTCTCATTTAGGTCTGCTCCAAATTTAAAAAGCTTAAGATATTTTCTCTTTGCCCTTGACTGCTTCTACCGAGCTCTGTTCTTAGCCAATGCTTAGCAAAATGCCTTGATCTAGTAGCTGCTTAAAAGTGTCAGCTTCTGCCCCCGCGCTGGGCGTGCGTTTTATAGTAATGCATTTCCAGCGACTGCCCTGGGAACCTAAATTAGACTTTCGTACGATCAACAAAATTTCTAAAAAGGGCGATCTGCGACCTTGGAGGTACTTCTTCGGTTAGGTTCAAGCTTTTGCCAATGAGTGGCCTAGAATTGTTGTCCATGCTCGATATGAAGCACTGTAATGGATGACTATGATCTGTGAATCGGTTGGTTTTCTTGCTTTACAATCTTGATGACCTTGCAGATTCGAGAACTTTAGGTTTAAGTTACTGGAGATATTGTGGTTTGAATACGGGTGCAACCTATGCAATAAAGGTTTCCAGAAGACTGGATAACTTTGAGAGTAAGCTCATGTACAGTACCTGCAGTCACAGACACAGGCGCAAACACAGGCTAACCTTGCTAAGCACCCTTCAATATTTAACAGGGGCTATCTCGACGAAGATTCCATCGAGTATAGGAGAGTAAGGGGTGCAGGCTCGGAAATAACTAGGAATAGTCGCAAACGGAGCCATATACTACTGATAATACCTTTATGACTAACAAGCGGATCGTGAGAACGAGGCATGACTTCCCGGAAGCAAGTCGAGAGTCGAGACTTTTAACTGGAAAAAAAGATATTATTCATAATTCTAACTCGAGCATGAATATATAAAAACGATCTCGGATCAAAGCAAAAGATAACTGATAGTTTTTAAATATCAGTAGAGGGATTTCCAGAATACTAATAGTCCTTCAAGATTTCCTTCCCTAATATACAAAAGACTTCTTATCAATAGTCTACATTTATTCATATTAAAACGCAGAGAGCTCCCCGGAGCCTCAAGCTGGGGGATATTAAGATCCCATATACTCCTCGCGACGAGAATTAAACGCACCGAGACACGGCGCGCACTAGTGCCTCGCTAAGATACTCCTCCTTCGGCAAAATTCAAGGCTGCCGATTTGGTAAGCGAGGCCACCCAAAATTTTACAAAACTTAATAACACTGCTACACGCCCGTATAGTATTAAATAAGCAAATCTTGACAAATTCTTGATTCGCCCGGTATGTTTAGCTCTATTCCGATCTCTGAAAATCGTTGCTAACAACAGCAGCTTGGCATAGTGGTACTGCGTGTCACTCGTACACAACACTCACCTTCTGCATAAGCGCTTCTGAGTGTTGTTAATCGCGTAATGACAAGATCCACGGTTCGATTCCGTGAGTGGGCAATGAATAGATCTGTAACATCTTTTTGCATTTTGGCTGGCTTCAATATTATTGTTTTTTTCCCTTTTCGGAGCGTTTTTGAGAGTTTGAAAATCGGGCGTAGTTAAGCGAGCGAATGCAGTGGGGTAGCAGGATCTTTTGTCCACGTCTCTGTTGGCCGTGTTTCTCTCGTATGTGACGAGCAGAAATGAGCATCAAAGAAAGGCAGGTGCGCTCAGTCTGGTCTCCTTTGTTGCTGGCAAAAAAGAGAGCTCAAACCTTGCCTGTTATCCCTGCGCTCCAGCTCTCGTGCTCAGCCTACAGGGACTATGCAGCCTGCAGGTGCGCTTCGTGGAAGACCAACATCCAAATGCTCTTCTGTATCGAGGAATTATGGTTGTCCTAATTTTCTTTTGTTTGGCGCGCGTGAAGCGCAAGATGTTCCCACTCTTCAACTGCCACATTTTTGGACATTTCATCCCACTTAGCCTAGTCAGGTACGCTCCGCGCCCAACCCTAAAGCATGTGATGATGACGTGGAATTGAGTTCTGCAAGTGCAACGAACCCTTCTTTCGATATTGCATACCCTCAATCACCGCTTCAATTGGGGCCTTAACCTCGAGGGAATCTTTCTCGCCGTGTTTCCATCATCGCGCGGTCATCACGATATGGAAATCTGAACTCGCTGTCCTTTGTCCCGAGCGCAATGCCTTTATCCGGAACCTCGCCAACGTACCTCCACGTCCTACAAAATGCGTCCCTGATTCTGCTTTCGATTTGTTGCTTTCCATTGTGCACATTCATTGCGATAGTCAGCAGCATAATATCTCCGTACCTCAAAACGTCACGACACATCCAGCACTATCGAAAATGGAGGAGAATATCCTCCTCAACATTCCGGCCGAGGACAATTCTCGTGACAGGCGTGGGGATGAGCAAAGGGCTCACTTTAGCGCGCGCCTTCTATCGCGCAGGGCATCGTGTCATTGGAGCTGATTTCGAGGACTACATGATTCCAGTTTGCGGTCACTTTTCAAAATCAATTGATACATTCTACCGACTTTCGCGGCCCAGCTCGGACGCTGGAGCCGCCATGTATATGAAAGATATGATCGACATTATCAAGAAGGAGGGAGTTGAGCTGTGGGTTTCATGTTCGGGGATTGCTTCTGGGGTGAAAGACGGAGAAGCTGCAGAAATGATTGAGAAGGAGACGAAGTGTAAGGCGATTCAATTCGGCCTGACGTTGACGGAGACATTGCACGAAAAGCATTCATTCATCGACAACACACGCGAATTAGGTCTCAATGTTCCAGATACACATCTGGTGACCTCTGAGACGGAATCATTTTCCGTTCTCTATCCAGAGAAACCAAGATCGGCTCAAGGAATGAAATACGTTATGAAAAGCGTGTTCCTCGACGACTCGAGTCGAGCAGACATGACTTTGCTTCCGCGACCAACGTTGAGGGAAACAGAAGCGCATCTCAAGAGGCTCAATCCCACACCCTTCCGACCATTCGTTCTCCAGAAATTTATCTCGGGTCCAGAATACTGCACCCATAGTCTAGTCATCAACGGAAAGGTGAAAATCTTCGTGGCTTGTCCTTCCGCCGACCTTCTCATGCACTATGTTCCTCTTCCAACTTCATCAGCACTCTCACAAGCTATGCTTCTCTACACGACTTTGTACGCCAAGAAAACAGGACCCAGTATGACAGGACACTTCTCAATCGATTTCCTAGTGGAAGCGGATGTGGCCGAGGAGGCAGAGAGACGGGTTGGCGTCTCAGATGTGGAAGTTCGAGAGCTGATGCGCAAGATATATCCTATCGAGTGCAATCCTCGCGCTCATACGGCCGTGGTCTGTCTTGCGGATGAATCTGAGGATATGGCTGAGGCGTATCTTTCGATCTTACCTGATCACGAGCCAAAAGGTATCTCGAATGGACATCGTGCTGAAGCACTTGTTGTGCCAAGACCGGGTATCCAGGGCTATTACTGGGTCGGACATGACTTGGTTACGAGAGTCCTTTTACCGCTGCTACAATTTCTAAGGTTTGAAATTGGGGTAACGGACCTATTGGAGAAGTGGCTAGAATTTGCAGAGCATGTACTATACTGGAGAGACGGCACTTTCGAGATATGGGATCCGTGGCCGTTCTGGTGGTTGTATGTCGGATACTGGCCAGCAATGTTCCTGGTCAGCTTATGGGAGAAAAAATGGTGGAGTCGATGCAATGTCAGCACGCAAAAGATGTTCGGATGCTGAGTAATGAGCGAGCAGATATGAAAGGAAACCACTTAGGTCCGATTATGAATCGAAGGCTGAAATAGACAGAACCTGCGGCATGCTGAGAGTAGACAGTTCAAATGAAGTTTATGACAAATCAGCTCCAATAAGATAACCGGATGAAAGTTCCATCTCTTTACGGCCACATCCTACACCTTCCACTCTCCTATGTCTTAAACGCATCAAGATATTCCAATTTCTATATAGACCATCTGATGGTAGGCCACAGCCAACTGTACTCGAAACCATCAAGCACAGCTGGCTGTGCCAAACGCAGTTTTTCACGCTGTAGCTTCAGCTCTCACATTAATTTTCTTCTCTGTATGTTTCTGATTAGCTTGCTGAAGACGCTTGCGAGGCCAGCCACGACCGTGTTTTAGTAACTAGGTCTGCGGGAGCACGCATCGTAAGCTTTTTCTGTAGGGGGTTGAGTCTGTGGTTAAAACGCTGCAACTCAAATTGTCAACGCCTTGTTAGAACATATCAAGAAGCTGCCAAGGCTTCCAATGTCGAGTAAAAGAAAACCTAAATGGAAATCGAACTTATCTATTGTCGCACCTATGTTACATGGAGGGAAAAGTTGGGACTTAGTTTGAAGTGAAGAAGATGAACAAGAGCAAAGGAAAGTAGCCGAAGCCAAAAGAGGCAGGTTCTGGCTTGCATATTTGGGATCCACGAACAGACGAGATGAGATGAAACTAAGATAATGTCCGAAAGCCTAGTATTGAAAAGAAGGAAGAAAACATTTGTTATGAATGCAATCGAAGGCGATAATCTCGAAATAGATTACCAGGCTAGCAGGACTAGGAAGAATAAAACGAGAAGCTGAGTAAACGAACATGGGCAGTACATAGAACAGACGCATCAGATTAAAGGTGTATGAATTATTTTAGGTTCAAGATATCATGGCTGTGACGTTGGTAAGGATTCGCCAGGATGCAAGATCTTTTTTCCACAAGTGTACCGGACTCGACTGTGTCTCCCCGGCACTCTATTCGTCTTAAGGATGTAAATATGGTGTCCTCCGATCTAATCGTTCCGTCCTTAATATTCCGAATGTCTCGTCTATGCATAGCAGAGCATATTTCTCAGAGCATGAAATGTGCGTCCAGATAAAGGTCAAGGTTTCCTAAGCTCCTTTGCATAGCCTACTCAGTGGCCTCTGTAGTGGAATGCTTTGTCATGAAACTACCTCGATATTGCAGATCTCAAGAGAGGTGCTATCTGCTTACGGCCATCCTGAGACTTCCCCTGCGACCAGCAAAGACATAACTGATCGCTATCTTCGAGGTCGAGAGATCCATCTCTCCAAGTCTTGAGATCGAGGCTCGGCTGCGCATCTCCTGCAAATTTTTTGACGGATTCTACGCCTTTTTGATCCATGCCCCAAACCAAAAGCTCTCTAGTGAAGACATCATTAGTCAGAGTTCTGGTCATGACAGAGCAGACAGATAAATTTCGCTCTTTTGCAAAATCTCTTAATGCTTCCCGCAATTTTTCGTCGTCGCCAGCCTTGTCCACGAGGAATTTCATGTTCTTGACTACAGAGCAGATGCCGAGTGCAACGTCCCCGTCATTCCATTGCTTGTAATCCTTTCTAAGAAGATCAACCAGACTCATGCTATCAACATCTTTCTCTGCGGCAGAGATCTCTTTGAAATAGTCTTCAGCATTAAAATGATTATCTTCCTCGGTAGTGATCCAGTGCTCCAAATACCTGACGGTTTCCACATCTGTCGGTGTAGTTTTTGACTCATTTTTCAAGTTCGAGGTGTCGATAAGGACCGGGGCCAGGGCCAATCGTGCCAGTTCGGCATTCCATTTGGTTCCTTCTTTCTGGGTCGACTCCGAGGCTAGCGAGTCCCATGCTTCTTTACAATATTGTACTACCAAGCTAGTACAGCTCCCACACTTCTTCACGATCCTTGGCTCCTCACCGCAGTCTTTGGGTACCTTGTTCTCTTCATCGTGGTGGTCGATGCAGCCAACTAGCTGGTTTCCATATATTTTGCTTAGGTCTCCTACCATGACATTGTGGTCAACCAATACCCATCTCGTCTTCTCAGGAGGCAATCGCGAGGACCTCGACGTGATGGATGGCAGGTCAGATAAGGTAATGAGATCGCTGGGTCTTAAATTGGCATGAGACAGGACAGGTAGCAACTCGGGACGTAGATTGAGATCAGCTGCGGGAATGTTTGATAGAGGTATGTAGAAGGTGTTCGATTTCGGTGCGTAGGTTCGAATGTATGCCAAAACAACAGCACTGCATAAGGAATCGAGGTCTGCGGCGGCGTTAGTTTTCCTGTCTGACTGGCTAAGAGGAAATTCTGCGTGCCCGCGGATTCGTTCCCAATCACGAATGTGACGGGCGATGTTTGCTGTGAAGCATTTTTCAAGGCGGTTTTGGCTGATGAGAGAAAAGAGCGAAGCGATGCACGTGGGAGAGGCATTTTCGATTCCTTTCTTTCGAATTGTGAGCAGCCAGCACTCCTTCCCCCAAACTTTGTTGAAGAAGACTGTCAAAATTTCGCGACGCGTTCCACAAAGCTCTGACGTCACCCCTGCGAGCTGCCTTGCTGAAGCGAGCCCCTATCAACGCTTATCAAGTACATTCTTGGAAAACAACGTCTTCTCGAACATCACGTCTTCTTTACTTGTCTCCTATTTTCGGCCTTGAAAGTAAGTTCTCCTATCAGAATCAGAATATAAAAACTACAAATGTCTAG